GGCAAACTTCATAATATAGCTTGTTGAGGGGGAGAAGGAATGGGAGACTAAGGAAAGGCGGCAGGAAAGATAGCTGGGGGCGGTAGAAGAAGAAGGAGGCTGGTCGAGGGACAGGGAAGGCAAGGGGAAGGACGCGAGGGCATAAAGTAGGTGTTTTGCACCATACACGCTAGGTCGCTCTCCTAATTATAAACACAGGTCTACTGATAATAGCTTATTAGGGAAATCTATTCTGAGATACTCCCTAACCATTTGAAATGCATATTCATCACAAAATATAACTCCTCTCGTGAGATATTGCGCATGCGCTAACACATTAACGCAGCCAGATTGTGTACTGGCTGGTATACGCAGCAGTGACCTTACATGCAAGGTCTTCCTCCTATTTCTTAAATAATGTCTCCAGATGAGAAGTTATCATTTAAATCTATGCTAGAATAACTCCTCTTCATTTTAAATGCATAATCTTTGCAAAATACGATTTCTCTCGGGAGATATTGCGTATGCGCGCGCACCGGGTTAAGCGTGCAGTGCCGTCTGAGACAAACTTCATAATATAGATTGCTGAGGGGGAGATGGGATGGGAGACTGCGGAAATCCGTCAGGAAAGATAGCTGGAGCGGTAGAAGAAGAAGGAGGTTGGCCGAGGGACAGGAGAGGCAAGGGGAAGGACGCGATAGCATAAAGTAGATGTTTTGCACCCTACATGCTAGGGCGCTCTCCGAATTATAAACACAGGTCTACTGATAATAGATTATTAGGGAAATCTATGCTGAGATATCCCCAAGCATTTTAAATGTATATTCATCACAAAATATAACTCCTCTGGTGAGATATTGTGCATGCGCTAACACACCAACGTAGCCAGATTTTGTACTGGCTGGTATACGCAGCGCATGCGTCATATATATACATCCAAGTGTGGCTTTAGGCTACCTCGTCTCCCGCCGGTGGCCTCCAGCCCCCGTCAGCTCACTCGCGACCGAAAATGGTTCTTTTTGTTTACATATTTTAGTAATGCTAAAACAGGTTACCATGGTATATGCCGATTGTATTACCCATAGGCATAGATATATCATTAAATAGGAAAAAACAAGACAAGCGCCAGTGCAGCATTCGGTACGTTATTAGTAGCACGTTATAGTGTAGCCGGCGTTTTATTTGTATGACGGGGGCTTAAGGCCACCTATGTAGAATTGTAATAATAGTGTATTATGGAGGCCCAAGACAACAGATATAGTATTTGTATGACGGGGGCCTAAGGTCACCTATATAGAATTGTAATAATAGAATAGTGTATGATGGGGGTCCAATGCCACATATATAGTATTTGTGTGGCGTGGGCCTAAAGTCACCTATATAGTATTGTAATAATAGTGTTTGATGAGGACCCAAGGCCACATATATAGTGTTGTATGGCGGGGGCCTAAGGCCACCTATATAGTATTGTAATAACAGAATAGTTTATGATAGAGGCCCAAGGCCACATATATAGTATTGTATATGACGGTGGCCTAATGCCATCTATATAGTATTGTAGTATAGTGTATGCTGGCGGCCCACCAAGACCACATATATAGTATTGTGTATGAAGGGAGCGCAAGGCCTCCTATATAGTAATGTGTGGTAAGCCTTGGTCGTAAGCTATACCGCCTCCAGCAAAGAAATTGTACAGTAGGCTGCATTATTTGCACGGTGTATTATTGCGCCAGCGGGGCCCTAAGCCCCCAGTGGCTCAAGGCCACACTTGGATGTGGATATCTGTCGCCTGCGTTTCAAGCGTACAATTCGGGCAGATAGCAACGGAATAATATAGCTTGCTGAGGGACCGAGGGGTGAAAGACTGAGGGGAGAAGGCAGGGGAGATATCTGAAAGGCGGTGAAATCAGTAGGAAGCTGAGCGAGAGACACTGGAGGCACATTGAGGATGTCAGTCTGATTATTGTCAGAGGATGGAATATGGGAATTGTACACTAAAGGCTAGGGCGCAAAATCACAAAATATTATTCCTCTGGTGCCATATGTCACGTGCGCCTACACACTAACTTGGGCAGATACTCTACTAACTNCTAAGCCTAGCGAATTATTAACCAACCCCTTTTTTTCTTATTTCAATATTTGACTACTAATAGTACTGTATTTATTTACTCACCCCACAACGACGGCGACAATACGACAGTGCCTACTCACCAATTAAACCCGACGCGCCCTGGTCTCTCTCACCCATAGGCAAGGCACACGCCAAAACGCCCGTGACCATGCATACAGTCCTCGGCGTACTCGTAGGCTAACTGCTCACCATAACCGCCACACAACACACACAGCTCAACATGCCGCCACTCTACAGCGATGCATACGCCACGCACGTCAGACGTGCTACTACCTGACGAGTCCTTCCTCACTCGGCTACCAGCACGAACTGCCCCTAACACTAGCTCCTCCCTCAACGCGATTCACGCCGCCTGAAAACTCCATACCGTGTCTTCTCGAGCACAGCTCACTGGCCTAGCTGTTACACCGGGCCAGCGCCGACCCGACGGCCCGCTTGGAGCGCGGGTGCTAACCCAAACATGGCTTGCCCCCCATGCAGTCGACTCGCACTATCTACATCCGTTAATTGGATGGCAGCTTAAGGCACCAACACGCAACACGAAAAACGCACACTAATAAACAGCAGACAATCACAAATATAATTATACAATTATACAAACACGGCATCACCCACAACTCTGGCTTCCAGCGCAGCCACCCCTACCTAGGAACCGCGCTCTAGGCCGCGCTGCCACCGCTACACTTCATTCGATGTAAACAAACGCTCGACACTGAACTTGAGGATATATCATCATTGTAACGTTAGTACTAAACTTTTGCGTTGTAAAAAATAACCTACCGTTCCCTGTTCCAACGTCTGTGGCTGAATTTTCGTCGAGCGCGTACTTGTCGCTTGATCAAACCATCCCTTGAATTCTACAGATGATAATTATCGTCATAGACCACTGCATATCTCCCGGCCATAATTCAGAGAATTTCTCCTCACGTGAACTTCTCCAGCGCATTTCCGCAGCAGCGGCGCCTGCCATGCTTGATAATCATCGATGACCTCACTTAACGTCTGCTATTGCGTCGACCTGCCTCCTACAGCAGCATCCCCCTAAGCCCGCGCCTCCAGACGTGTTCACTGTGCTTCGAACTTTCCACACGCCACAAGAAAACATATCCAAACACGTGTGATATTTTCCACACGACCCAGATCGAGGGATTTTGCATCCACACACGCTGCTGGAACTTGCTGCACCACTTTCCACCGTGTGGAAGTTGACGCAGCAAGTTCCACAACGTGTGTGGCGGACTTTACAGTTCTGTAACAATGTTTCATCTTACAGTTCTGTAACAATGTTTCATCTTACAGTTATGTAGCAATGTTCCATCTTACAGTTATGTAACAATGTTTCATCTTACAGTTATGTAGCAATGTTTCATCTTACAGTTATGTAGCAATGTTTCATCTTACAGTTATGTAACAATGTTCCCATCTTACAGTTATGTAGCAATGTTTCATCTTACAGCTTAGCGTAGACAATGTTTCATCCTTACAGTTATGCCTAACAATGCGGTCCGATCTTACAGTTCCATGCTACAATGTTTCATCTTACAGTTATGTAACAATGTTCCACCTTACAGTTATGTAGCAATGTTTCATTTTACAGTTCTGTAGCATTGTTTCATCTTACAGTTCTACAGAGTTGTTCTATCGTATAGTTCTATAGCATTTGTACTATTTTACAGTTTCTGAAGCACTCTATCATTTTGCAGTTCTCTATAGCATTGTCCCCCATCATACAGTTCTAAATCACTGTTCCCTTTTACAGTTCTATGGCATTGTTTCATTTTGCAGTACTATAGCATTGTTCCACTTCGCAGTTCTATAGCATTGTTCCATTTCGCAGTTCTATAGCATGTTTCATTTTCGCAGTTCTATAGCATTGTTCCATTTTGCAGTTCTATAGCATTGTTCCATTTCGCCGTTCTATAGCATTGTTCCATTTCGCAGTTCTATAGCATTGTTTAATTTCGCAGTTTTATAGCATTGTTCTATTTCGCAAATTCTATAGCACAGAAGAAACAAGCTTTCAGCTAGCGCCCCACCTTTGGCATTCTCCTATCCTACCTTTCTTTGCTTAGATGTACCGAGAATTTAATAATTTTGCCACGCGTCGCCAGATGTCGCTATGCGTCGCCAGGTGGCGCTCGCTCAGGTGCTGCGTCGGCGATCGCACGTGTTCGTAATTTATTTTTGTATGTTTCGTGGAAAACCGATATTTATAAATAAAAAAGCCTGTTAGTTTTGTTTCTCCGAAAAATTGTTGTTAATTGTCGGATTTCGCCTCATTAAACGTTCTGAGTTCAGCCATTATTCCATATTTCTTGTTATATATTGCCGTGCTGGGGCAGAGAGCACACACATACGCACACACACACACACACACACGCACACACACACACACACACACACACACACCACGCCACGCACGCGCGCGCACACACCGCACGCGCGTGCCACGACACACACATTTACCATACACACGACACACACAACATCACACCACACACCACACACACAACACACACACACACACACACAAACATACACACACACACTCACACACAAACAAACACACACACATACACACAGACACACACACACACACACACAGACACACACACGCACGACACCAGGACACACCACACACACACACACACACGCAAACACGCACGCACGCGCGCGCACACACACAAACACACACACACACATACCATACACACAGACACACACACACATACAAACACACACACAAACACACACACAGACACACACACACACACACACACACACACACACACACACACACACACACACACACACACACACACACACACATTGTGTTCTTTGATGCTTGATAACGTTTTATGTTCTCCCAATAAAACGCACGTTGCGCATACATCAAAACATTCTCGGCATTTTTTATTTAGTGCTTTATTGTTACATTGAATTCTAACATCGTCATCGTGATTGTTACAGACGTATAAGCGTCAATAGACGCCCGTGCACACCTCGCAAAATTAAACGCTTTTCATTATCAATCGATAAATTTTTTCCATTTTGTTTATCTCGAATAAAACTAATCTCTGAATCCATTAATTTTTCTAACAATTAGTTAAGTTAATCATTTAATTATCAATTAATTAATCTATCAATTAATCTCTTAATTTCTTAATCTCGCCCAAAAACTACGCCAGGCGCCGCTAGATGGCGCAGGCATCGAAGTTGAGGTTGGACAGGCATTTCTGCAGCGGCAGTATCAGCGCGCGTCCCGTGTACATCCTCGTTGTCTGGAGGTCGTAGCGGAAGCCGATCCGCTCCAGCATGCGCGACGCATGCGCGTTAGCGTCGGGCGTCAGCGCGCACGCCTCCGCACCGTCGGGCAGCGCCGCCAGCAGACTCGCCAGCAGGTGGCGCTGCACGCGCGGATCATCGCCGTACAGCGGGAAGATGCCGTGCGACACGCATCCCGTCATGTCGCTGGCGACCGCGTAGCCGGTGATCGCCCCTGCGGCGGCGGCGTCCATGGCAACCATCGTCAGCTTCCCGTAGGCGCGCAGGCACGGACGCAGGTAGGCGCCGCGGTCGTGACCCGCGATCCCGCGATCGTACGCCAGCACCGCCTCCAGCATCCCCTCGTCGTACGGCTTCACGATGACGTCATCACTTGTCGTACCGATGACGTCATCATCGTCGAGCGGCGGCGGCGCGGCGTGGTTGACGGTGTAATAGCGGAACGTCATCGTGAACGATTCCGTCGTGAAGCCGATCTTCTTATTGGGGGCGACGCGGTAGGCGACGGAGTTGATGCCGAGCGAGCGCTGGCCGCCGACGTGAGCGAGTAGTCGCTGCGAGAGCAGACGACCGGCTCCCGTGCCGCGCGCGTCCCGCCGCACGATGTAGTGTCCGCCGAACGCTGTGTCGCCGGCGACTGCACAGTTCACGAACCCTGCAAGCAAGCAGGCGAGAGTGAGAGAGTGAGCGAGGTGGAGAGAGAGAGAGAGAGGTGGGGGAAAGAAGAGAGAGGGAGAGAGTGAGGTGAGAGAGAGAGAGAGCGCGCGAGAGAGAGGTGGAGAGAGTGAGTGAGTGAGCTCTGCTTCCAACTGATTTTACCGCCCTCGCTCGCTCAGTATACTATAATATTTTCTCGTTGCCATCAGTCCGAATTGTACGCCTGAAACGGTGCTCGCGCATGCGCAATATCTCCCGAGAGGAAGAAATTTTTAGAAAATTATGCATTTAAACTGGAGAGGAGGTATCTTTAGCATAGATTTATATGATACACTCTATCAGTAGGCATCTGTAAAGATATAGGAAGAAGACCGTGAATGTAAGGTTCGCGCTGCATATGCTAGTTAGTACAGTATCTGCCCAAGTTAGTGTGTGTGCGCACGTGACATATGGCACCAGAGGAATAATATTTTGTGACCGAAATGCATTTAGTATGGAGAGGGGGCATCTGAGCCTAGATGTCTGTGATAAATAGTTATCAGTAGACCTGTGTTTATGAATAGTAGAGCGCCCTAACCTGTAGGGTGCAATCCCCAAACTTCATCCTTTATCCATCCCGCAATGTGCCTCCAGTGTCCCTCGCTCAGCTTCTAACTGATTTTACCGCTCTTCAAATATCTCCCCTACCTCCTCCCCTCAGTCTTCCACCCCTCGGTCACTCAGCAAGCTATATTATCCCGTTTCTATCAGTCCGAACTGCACGCCTAAACAGGTGCTCGCGCATGCGCAATATCTCCCGAGACGAAGAAGAAAGAACAATTTGCGAAAATTTATGCATTTAACTGGAGAGGATGTATCCTATCATAGATTTATATGATAAAACTCTCTCAGTAGGCATCTGTAAAGATGTAGGAAGAAGACCGCGAATGTAAGGTACCCGCTGCATATACCAGGTCCGCGGGGGTGTAACAAAAAACTACGTTAGTGTGTTAGAGAGTGTGCAAATTCACACCGTAGAAAAAATTTTGCATGACGGTATGCATTCAGACCTATAGACCTTCACCAGTATATATATATCTGCTTGATATATATAAATACTTATAAATATTCATATACTACTGTGTACACTGCACCGCCTATCTTATTTACTACTGATATACCTCTGTATAAGCACCGCCCCTCACACCCTGACCTAAAGACCCTTCACCAGTACATATATGCTACCGTGTACACTACACCGCCTAACCTATTTACTACTGATATATATATATATATATATATATATATATATATATATATATATTATATATATACTAGGTTATCGTGAGTACCGATTGGTTCTCCGCTAGATGTCACCGCTGTGAAGGATCCGCCCCCCTCTCCATGCTGCAGCATGATCTTCAACGTTTCTAGATCGAATTCGAAGTTGAATGCGTCGCGCCACCACTCCATCACGTGCGGGAGGTCCGACTCCACAGCTTCCCGTATCGTGCAGACGTCCGCCATTTTGCTTAAAGTGAATGCGTCACCGTAATTAGTAAAAGTAAACAAAATATTTCCACTTTTTCACAGAATGTAAGTAATTCTGTTCACTTTTTATGGTTAAATTGCTGCATTATACTTCCTATTTTACTATATTGTTCGATGTAAACATTAGTGTTGGGAATCGGTACAAAAATCCAGATCGATCATCACTCTCATGTAAATTACTGATGATCGATTTCAGATCGATTTTATTGCTACATACTAAGGAACTAGAATAAATGATCTAATACAACGGGTCAGTGTTTATTAACAGTAGGTATGTAGGCTTACATATAAAATTGAAAGCTGGTCTACTTGACTCGGTTTAAACGAAACAAGGGATATTGTTACAGTTATCAGTTTGTGACTAGGGCCTACTTGTCTACTGACTACTATAATAAAACATGGAATACAAATTGACATGTCGCAATTCTGTTTGTAGTTAAGTTACCTGTGTTAACTCTGCTCATTATTTTGTACGTCTGTGTTCATTTCATGTATAATAAACATTTTGTAGTTAACTGTTTGTGTATTTGTATCAGTGTTTGACTGTTCAGTGTTCACTACAAAATGTAGCTACTGTTCACATTATGTATACAACGTACTGAACGTAGTTAACTGTTCTTGTATGTGTACACCTGTGTTCACTGTTCAATATTTATATCCGTTCTTGCTACGTTCTTGTATTTGTAGTGTTTTTCACTATTCACAGTACCGTCTCAATGTTTACTTTAGGTATTTGTTTTTGTTCTTGTTCAAAAATAAACAAATTGTCCAACTTTTATGGTTTAATACGTACATATGTATTATAAACAGAGCGCCAACGCACGCTTTATTTGCTACGCCAAAAGTTGCTCGAAAATACTCCCTTGCGCGCACGATATAATATTCCTAACACACAATCAGCCAGAGCGCGATTGCGCAACATTAATTTTTTTATCGTCAAGGTCACCGAAAAAGGCAAATCGCGACACCACATTTTATGGTTATGTATATATGTATTACTAGCTGCGGGTACCTGCTGCGCTGGGTAAAATCGTGCTACTAATTCATACTACTAATAATGGGACACAATAGGAACATTGGGTAAAAATCGACAATAACATTGCACACAATATCAATATTTAGAAATCAGTCTAATAAGATAATAAGCATGGAAAAAACTGTTACGTATGACATTTATATGACAGCACAACTCAACTTAGAACCCCTGGAACATAATAGTAATATGGTGTAAATGACAAAAAGTTATTATTAAATAACAGCATGTACGAATGGGTTGGACTTTTCATTTCAAAGCCTATTGATAAACAATGTTTTTCGTGTTATTCTCTGGTGCAAATATGTAGAGATTCCTAGCGTATCTAACTCTTGAGCTCCTCACGTACAGCTATCCATTGTGAGATCGTACCACGAATAAAAGAAATTACATATATAGTATAGATAGAGACAGGCCAGCGAGTGGGGTCTGTGTCCACTGGATATTGTCTAGTAAATGCTTGGCGCGCAACCATGCACATTGAAATTCAGAAATTTTTCTATTGAATCAGAAAATGCATAGCTTTGGAATGGTACAATGCATTCTGAGATCGTAGCATCTGAACTGAATCTGTCAACTCAGAGTGAGTAGTACTTATGAACTGGTCCTGGTTATGCTGTTTTAGTA